TAAAATAGTTATATTATGCCCTGTGACACACACAGTTCTATTATTCTGTAGCCGTTAAAAGACATGTTCTTTTGTTCTGTGTACTCATACTTCTATAACAGGCGCTGGTGCTTATTTTAAAATAAGCTTCACCCCCCTCCCCCAGTTTTTAGGGATGTGTGACACTGTTTCCTTCATTCTCATAACTAAAGCTTCCAAAGCAAATAAAAAATCATGGCCTTCCCAATTTGTCGAAAGTAGAAAGATTTGGTATATTTTGTCCTGAATCATTCATAATTCTACTCCACCAAAACTGAAAGCAGGCCTTGTAGGTGCCTGCTTGAAAGGAACCTTGGGAAGTGGAAAAATAATTTACCTGAGGAGCTTCATGATACTGCACTATCTATTCTTTCATGGGTTTCTCAATTCCTGATGGGCTAATAATATGTCCTACAACGTCCTTGGCCTGTGATTTTTCCCAGGATGGAGTAAACTACAAATATTTAAATAAAACTTACTGAAGCTGAATGTAGCCTGAAGGTATGTCTACAGTGCAGTTAAACATCCACAGCTAGCCTGTGTCAGCTGACTTGGACTTGGGCTAAGGGGCTTTTTAATTGGGGTGTAGACATTCAGGCTGGAGCCTGGGCTCTGGGACCCTCCCCACTTGCAGGATCCTAGAACCCAGGCTCCAGCCCAAGCACAAATGTCAACAACGCAGTTAAACAGTCCCTTAGCCTGAGCTCTGTGAGCCCAAGTTGACATGGGTCAACTGTGGGTGTTTAATTGTATTCTAGACATAACCTGAGTGGCTAGTGAGAGGATTTTTTTTGGTGAAGTCTGTTCTGAGAAGACTCCTGTACAGAAGGATGTCACAAGATCAATTACAGACTGAAACAAGGTAGGAATAGGTTGAAACACTAGAGAAGGTTTTGGTGGTGGGGGGATGATGGGGAGCCTGGATGAAGGGAAGTTGAATTCAGAAAGATGAAAGTAGCTCTCTTCTCTGAAAATGGGTATTGCAGCAAACTGTGGGGTCCATGGTCTACCTAGCTAATTCCCTATGACCTAGTTAATTCTCTGTGTTCATTCCTCCTGGTGACTTCAGTACGTCTTGTCGCTAGTTCTTTTCTAACAACTTCTCAGTGAAGGAACTCTCTGAGAAACTGTTACTTCTGACTGTGCCACGAAGGCTGCCTCAGTATTGCTCAAGGGATTTGAGTCTCTTATCTCATACTTAACCTGAATACTATCTGTCTGCTTAGTGTCCTTTCTCTAATGAATGGTTTATTGGAGAAAAAAATCTTGCCTTTTTTGGTGACAGAGACACTCTGAAGCACAAATGTCCTCTTTTCTTCTCCTTTCAAGAACTTGCTTTTAACAGTTTTTTTTAAAGGTTTTTATAAACAGTGCTACTGCACTGTCATCTTGTTTCCCTCCCCCTATTTTTATCTTGCAAGTATGTTGAGAGAAAGCAGTTCAGCAGCTTTAGTAAGTGCCTGATGAAGTAACACAATGCCCCTAACAGACAAATATAACAATGCTGGGAAAGAACTATGGGCTTGGTACTGCATCAGTGCCAACATCACTTTTTTTAAAGTGAACGTCAAGGAACTCTGAAGGTGTCTGTTGACTAGGGGGTGGTCAATACACAGTTGACGTGAAGGACATCAAAGAGCAAGTCTTCAAATGTACCAAGATATGATTCCTGTGGTGGATGCCTTGCTGCATATGTGTCAAGAAAAATCTGAATAGTGTGCTTGGACATCTTTAAAGCATTTAGCTGTACAGTATCCTCCTTGTTGGAACCAATGGAAAGCATCAAGCTATCTAGTCTTATTGTGATGTTGTGGTGCTTTCCCCTCTGGACCATCACATTACCTCAGCTGCATCCTAGATATTCATATGTACATGTCGCATCTTACTGATTGAGGCATTATCTCAGCAGAACCAGCTCAAGGTCACAGGTATCATGTGTCCAAGTATACGGCATCAGTCCTAGCATCCTAGTTACTGGTGCCTCAATGTACTTTACACCAGTTCTTGGAACACTAATAATGCCTTAACTAATGATGCCATCCACATTGGTCATCTCAGTGCAGTTGGAGTTAGCATACTTGTCATCCTGATTCCCACCTGAAACAAAAGGGATGATGGGGGTAAGAACTTCTAGTCACATGTATGTATGAGTCGCAAGTCTTCTGACACTTGTGAACTTTTTGGGAAGTGTGGTCAGCAATAAACTAAATTCTCTCTGTGGAATCTGAGCTTGATTTATCATTGTGATGACTGAGTACTTGTTTACTTTGTAGACCCCAAAATGTCCTGCATTGAAATCCTAGTTTACATTGAGTTGCACCTCTGCTGCAGGAGATTAGAGGGGAAACCTAACATCCCTCAAGTCTGGTGCGTGAGATAGCTATAGGCAGTCAAGACTCGCAGCTGAGCATCCCTGCACTGTGATCCCATACTCTGGAATGGAAAATGTATTAACCCTCCATTCTTGCTTCCCACATAAGGAGTTACCAGTTCAAGTGAATAGGTACCAGACCACCCTTTAGAGGGTGGCTTGTTCATGCTTGGATTTATCTTCTTCCCCAAAACTATAAAGTGATAAATTACAAAAGCCTTTTGGTGATGGCCTAGCAAGAGGATGCCTTTGACATGATGTAGCTGCCTCCAAAATAAGTGATCCCTGGTTATATAATATGTAGATCTGGGGCTTTTGTGTTGTCAAGCAAAGCTACAAAATTTCCATCAGAGAAGTATCTCCAGATTGCCCATATGAAGATGCTTTCCATATCTGCGTTATCCAGAAGAGACTGCAAAAAATCAGTAAATGTCATAAAACTCAGATGTTTTGTTTTAGGTACTTCCTCATATCTAGAAACACAAAAGGGCTGAGGTCCGTATGGACTTCAGCTATCTCAACTGCCATAATATTCAAAATGATGTCTTTGTGAACAACTCTGCTTCTTTGAAAAGATGACAGCTGGTTAAGTTTGTATGCACTGCAACTTAAGTTCAGTTTGCTTGGTGGGAAAGGAAAATGCTATTGGACACAATAAGTCATAGCCCAGTTTCTTTTGAGTAGAATGACTACCTGCCCACAGAAATGCATTTTCACACTTGTCTTTCCCTCTAACAGCCAAGGTCCTAATCAAGTTGGAGAGACAAGTTCTACAATATTAATAGCTCTTTAATGGCAGAGGCAAATGTGGGTCCCACTCATGCCAGTATTGGCGGTATCCAGTTCCATCAGGCTGAAATCTTATGTATGATCAAACAGAACCAGGTAACCTCTCTGCATGCTGACCTAGGATCCCCTTTCCCTATCAGAATGGCACAACTGAAAGCATGCATCCTTTCAGTGAAGTCTGTTGAATTGAGTGTTTGTGTTTAAAGGCAAAGGAAACAGCTAGAAGAGAAGACGGTAAAGAAACTTCAAGAGGGCATGGATATGGGTTTCTAGAGCCCTTATAAGTTTTCTTTCCTTAGGACTTTACTGGAGAAAGACCTTTATCTTACCAGAATATAACTACCAATTTCAGTTGTAAAGGTTTGTAAAACGTAATGAGAAGGCCCATAGGAATTCATATTACCTACCCCACATGAAAACTACTTGCTTATCATTTCTCTTTGTCAGTCTAGGTAAAAGGAATTCTCCCTTAAGATTTATCTGGCAACTATTTTTGACACTGTATGAGTATATTAAAGTTCCTCTATAGCCTCTAGTCTAATGATCAGATGGGAATTTGAAGAAAACCCATTAAAATCCCTTTTTCTTGTGGGGTAGTAATGCCATCCGTACTAAGCCACTTTACCACCCAGAAATGTGAGTTTCTAAAATGAAGACTAATGCTCGTAGTGATAGTGTCTTCAGTTTGCAGAGTTAGTAAGAGTCAGGTTTTAGTTACTAATTTACCTTTATGCTTTTTCATAAGAATAAGGTAGTGTAGTACACTTGATCCTAAATTCCTTCCAAAGGTGGTGGTTTAATCTAACTTAAGTAGCCACCCTGCAAGTGTTCTTTCCACATGCCTGTCCAGAAAGGCTGTTCTCTGTAAGCTTTAAAATGAAAAGGTCCCAGAGCTGTTATTTGAAAGGGAGCAAAGCCTTTAATGTCTATCTTGCTCTTCTCCCCCCTCTTTTCCCCCCTTGTTTTCTTTTGCCCCTGTGTTTCTAGTTCTTGTACCCAAGAGAACCATGTCTAAATAGCTGTCTGATGACATTGTTTGTTGTTCCTTATGAGGTCTGCAACTTCAAGGTTATGTGAAGGAACATTTATTTGGAGGAATGTCTGCTTGTGTAGCTGAGTTCAGATTAGCTCCCAGGAAGAGATTTGAAGGGCAGCCATGTGGACTGACTAAATTTTATTCGAAGTGATTGAGTTCAGTATCCTATTGTGATTTTAGCTTGTCTTATCAATGTTTCCAAATTGGAAGAGGAAATTCTTTTTACATCTGGTATTTTTAAGGATATTTTTATGCTCTTTTACACCCTTTGCTCTTGTTTTGGTTATCTAATTATGCCACTCATATATTGTCAAGGTGGTTTCTCCTTCTGAGGAGCCTGAAACTAAAGGTATCCTCAGGGTCCAGGTGCAGAATACATCAAATATATGATGGTCTATGGAGATTTCAGGAACCTCCAAGAATAAGGTTCTGCTGTGAACTCAAGCCTTATGGGGCAGAAAAGGGGGAAGGAATTTCCTGGAATTCTTGTTATCAGATGGTGTGCAGTTACAGCAGATCCTTGTCTACCTTCCCCACAAAGTTGAGGAGGTATAATCTTTTATTCTACTTCTGTTTCACACTCTGATATTGGAATGAGCCATTGGAAATGCTGAGGTCACCAGAGCTTCTTATAGAGCAGGCACGTAACATCATATTGTCTGTTAGCCAAAGACTTTACTCTCACTGGTCATGTTAATGGAGTATGGACCTAGAGTGTGGGTCTGCTGTGAATATACTTGTAATTCTATTTCTCTTGAAGTAAAGTAATCTTTTTACACCATCCAGGTTTCTACACTTTGACAATGTACACTCTTGACAACAAACAATTGGCACCATGAAATCTTGGAAGACTGTTCTAATTGTGACCCAGTTCAAATCAGTCATGAATTTATAACCAGGTAGAGACATTTCAACTGATTACAAAAGATACTGTTCACTTTATGGGTATACAACAGCTTTCTGCTTTCACAGTTCTGTGTATGCCTGCACCTACTATGTTGCTTAACTATATTGATATCATTGCTGTTTGAGGGGAAACATGGATGGCCAGTCAGTGGTGTATCTGTAGGGGATGGAGTAACCAAAGGATATGGATCAGTACTGCAGCATATGGGGAAGTGCTCTCTGAGAATATCCTACCACACACGTAGCAGGAGGAGAAAGGAGGACTGACAGTGGTTACACAAACAGGTATAAACATAGTGTGTTTTGTCTACACTTTTTTAAAAAAATATATGCCAAACTGGATACAGGAAGATAACTATGTGCCATGTAGACCTGGCACGGGCTGAAATTAGCTGACCTAGTTACTGTCAGAATCTTAATCGTGGAGTGTGCAGATACAAACACAACTTAAAGCCATTTATGCTAGTAATCAGTTCCAAATTCTGTAAGATGGAGGTGGACATGGCCTAAGAGTTTGATCCTTAGAGGTACTGGTCAATGCAGGAGAATTCATTGGTGCTCTTCAGCTTCTTTGTGCTATCTGCACCAGCTCAGAGGGGCAACAAAGTCACTGCAAGGCCCTGCAATAATATCCCAGGCACAGGGGCCCCCCTTACTGGTGCTGAGATGGCTTTGGGTCCTTCCTGGAAAAGCTACCAGTGCACGGGGCTTCTTGGGATAGGCAGGAGATGTCAAAAGGATAGGAATATATGTGGCTAGAATGATACTATGCTTGAGCTATTTCCTGAATGTGCAGGATCTGTGGGGCAAGGAGCATTTGGGTGCAAGTTAAGGCAGGCTTAGGGCTGTGCTGAACTATGCTGGGAAGTGAAACCGCCTCAGATTACCTGAGGATAAGGGAAGCAATTTCTTTCCTTCTTAGTTCTTGCAACCAGGCTTTGTTTCTTTCAGGGCTGATTCATACAGAAGACATTTCAACAGTTTTTCTAGCTAAACACTAACGTGTTGTGTTTATAAGTGTGTCTTTCCACCCTTGTCCTCAATTACATCAGCTTGCATCAGCTGATTGGTCTGTGCGTAGGAACAATTACCATACTCTTCAGTGTCTATAGTCTTGGCTTTTTTCTTCTGTATAAAGCCATTAAAAGTTCTTATGTACTAAGGAAATCAAATGGCACTAAAGAAATCAATGTGCCAAACCCACTCTAATATAAAATTAAGATATTTATCACAAATTGCTTTTTTTTAAAAAAAAAAAAAAAAGCATGTCTGTAAAACATAAGATCAGATATGTCTGCAGTCTGTCACATTACATTAATAGTACAATATAACAATTTGCCCTGTCTTTTTATGCTTTTTTCATTAAAAGGGTAGTATTTAATGCAGCTACTTTAGTGTTTGTACTGGTATTCAAAGAATATAATGGTTGTCTTTTGATTTTATGCAGTTTTAATACTGAAGTGGCACAGTGTTTGTTGTAATTACATTAATGCAAATACTATGTATCTGGCCATTTGTGTTTCTCTACTCCTCCTCACCTCCTACTTAACTGTGGTGGGAGTGGAAATCTTAAATTGGTGGAGTAGAAAGTGAGGCAAAATTTGGCAACTTTTTTTGTTTTAATCGTCTGTATTGGAAAAGTCCTGAGAGTTCTAGATTTATTTTAAGAACTCAAATAGTGTTAAAAAGGATTTGAACATAAAGGGTTCCTTAACCAGATCTTTATAAAACTTTGCATACAGTAATTATATGGAACTTCAATCACATTTTCAGAATGGTACGGTGGCTTCCTCTGTATGCATAGGAGATCTTTCTTTCCCCTTCCACTTCTCCACTAAGTACTAAACTTCAGTTTATTTGCCTTTTAAAATAAAAGGTAGGTAAATATAGGTAGATGTTAGGAATAGTTGAATGCTTATGCTCTTCATTGCCAGTAATGTTCTTAAATATCTTAGACTTATTCTGTCAAGATCAATACATATTTTAAGGAAACCTCTGATAATATCACTTAGGGATTCTGGATTTTGATTTCCAAGTACTTATTTCGGACCCAGTTTCTTTATTTACTCACTGTTTTGGTCTCACACTTGGATGTGTTCACACTATATGTGGTTCATTAGATCAGTTTTTACTATAGCATGAAACCACACTAATATTACAAATTGTAAAATACTTTCTAAGCACTCAGTTTTTAATGCCAGAACAGGGACCCTTATGATCCCATAGTGTGATGTCCTGTGTAACACAGGCCCTAGAATTCACTCAGTAATTAGTGCATTAAGCCTGATCATCTGTGGTTGAACTAGACTAGAGCATGTGTGTTTAGAAAGACATCTGGTCTTAAAAGTTCAAGTGAGGGAGTCTACTATCTCCTCCAATAAGCTGTTATAGTGATTAATAAGGCACACAGTTTTAACAGTGAGAGTAATTTCCGGTCTGAATGTTTCTAGCCTCAGTTTTCAGCCATTGGATCTTGTTATTTTTTCTGCTGTAATAAATTGCCCGTGGTATCAGATATGTTCTTCCTGTGTAGATACTTGTAGATCATTATCAAGGCACCTCTTAACCTTCTCTTCAAGAGTCGATGTACTGTAGATCCTTTTGGTCTCTCATTTTAAGGTAGGTTTTCCAGACTTTGAATCATTCTTGTAGTGTTTTTCTGAGCCCTCTCCAAGTTGTCAACTTCTTTTTTGAAGTGTGGATGCCAAAATTGGAAACCAGTATTCCAGTAGTGACTTCACCAGTGCCATATACATTGGTGATATTACCTCACCCCTCTTTGTGCATGCAAGGTTTGTGATGGCCCTTTTAGCCACAGCATTGTACTGGGGAATCGCTTTTTATTTACCTATCATGACATCTGTGACAGAGTCTCTGTTTTCAAGTTCATAATCCCCTATCCTGTAAGTATGACTTACATTCTTTGTTTATATATGTATGACCTTGTATTTGATTGAATGTCCCCAGTTTACTAAACAATGCAGGTCACTTGGTGTAAGTAACCTGTTCTCAATATTTACTACTCCACTAATCATTTTCATTTATAGATGTTGTTAAAAATTGCTGATATCTTCTGACAGATAAAAGACCACTTGCTGATGGTATGCATACCATGCTCTGTTCCTTTCATTCATAGGCAAAAAATGCATGTGCAAAAAGTGTAGTGGCATAATAGTTTGGACAAAAGCGCACTTACAAGGAGCTAGTTATATATATTTACCCAGTCTGCACATGCTGTTTGTAGTAATTGCACATGTAAGCATGAGTGTTTGTCTGGAACTCTCAGGCCTCTGTTTGAAGACAATAATTTCAGAGCACCCGTGACAATCTGGCAAATTGAGTGATAACTACAGTTGTTTATTGTGACTGACACTTTATGCATTTGAACTACAGTACTTCATGCTCACTTTACATTTGTAGTAACAAAGTTAGGGGAAGAGGGAAAATGTAATATATAAAAGTCTTCTGGTGTATAATGATTTGGGTATGATACGGAGGACAATCCATTTAATTGACATTACTTTTTTATATAGCTCTCTCTCTCTCTCTCTCTCTCTCTCTCTATATATATATATATATATATAAATGAAAGACATTAAAACAAAATAAAAAGCTATGGGGTAGGGATCTCAAATGTATAAACATTTGGAAATGTTATTTTATACATAATTATTTTCTGGGAAGTCTATCACAAGAGTCTACATGATTTACCCTGCAAAAATCCTCATAAGTAGTTGAGTTTGTGTTTCCATTTTCATCATAAGTAGCATACCTTTTTATTTCCAGCCACTGAGAGCCCTTGCTAATTCTCTAAAATAGCTACTTGGATTTAGCTCCTCTTCTGCACCCACAACAGGGTCTTATAACCTGCCACGATTGGGTCAGCACCCATGATTTAGAGGCTAGACAATAAAGAATAGATTGTTTCAGTTTTGTATGTTTGTGACAATCCCCCTATTTTCTGTATTCTTCTCCCCACCTGATGGGGCACAGCCTTGGCTTTCCATCATAAGTTTTTTTTAATCATGTCCTCCATGGAGCCTTCGTAAGCCGAAAACAGAAACTATATTTATACTCTTGCAGAGCTCTTGTTTCTGAAATAAAATTTTTGATATATTGGATGCCTTTTTTAGTTTGGGGCACACCACCCAGAAATGTTCTTACATACTTCAAATCAAAGACAGAAAATGACACTGGGTCTAGGCATTGGTATAGTCAATCTTGGATTACTGCTTGATTGAAGCAATGAACGTTGCTTAGGGTATGTCTACACTACGAAATTAGGTCGAATTTATAGAAGTCGGTTTTTTAGAAATCGGTTTTATATATTCGAGTGTGTGTGTCCCCACAGAAAATGCTCTAAGTGCATTAAATGCATTAACTCGGCGGAGCGCTTCCACAGTACCGAGGCAAGCGTCGACTTCCGGAGCGTTGCACTGTGGGTAGCTATCCCGCAGTCACCGCTGCCCATTGGAATTCTGGGTTGAGATCCCAATGCCTGATGGGGCTAAAACATTGTCACGGGTGGTTCTGGGTACATATCGTCAGCCCCCCATTCCCTCCCTCCCCCCGTGAAAGCAAGGGCAGACAATCATTTCGCGCCTTTTTTCTTGAGTTACCTGTGCAGACGCCATACCATGGCAAGCATGGAGCCCGCTCAGGTAACCGTCACCCTATGTCTCCTGGGTGCTGGCAGACGCGGTACGGCATTGCTACACAGTAGCAGCAACCCCTTGCCTTGTGGCAGCAGACGGTACAGTACGACTGGTAGCCGTCATCGTCATGTCTGAGGTGCTCCTGGTCGCCTCTGTGAGGTCGATCAGGAGCGCCTGGGCAGACATGGGCACAGGGACTAAATTTGGAGTGACTTGACCAGGTCATTCTCTTTAGTCCTGCAGTCAGTCCTATTGAACCGTCTTATGGTGAGCGGGCAGGCGATACGGACTGCTAGCAGTCGTACTGTACCATCTTCTGCCGAGCAGCCATGAGATGT